CTGCCTGGCACACTGTTGATGTATTTTTGTCAACATGATGATTCATGCTCGACAGATGTGCATTGGTTGAACAAAAGGTAACATAATTAAAATATATTAAATATTAATTGTGATATATAAAAATGTATACATTTTATGTTTTGATAAATAGAAATTATTTGATTTATTAAAAGCTTTTTGTAGGAATTATAGAAATGAGTCTTTGTTTTTCATGTTTTACAGGATCATATACTTCTGTTAAATCCTTGATTTAATGTGTTTTAACAGCTTCAAATTTTAGCAACATTATGTCTAAACTATATGGTTAGTTAGCATTGTGTAATTGCATTTATGAAGTATTGTATTAGTTTATTTAGCAATATCCATGCTTTATAAAGATTTTTTAAAACGTAGGTTTTTTCTTTCAGATTATTGATCTTTTAAGTGTGATTTACATCCTTTTATTTATAAAGTAACAATTTTTTAATGATCTCTACTAATAATGCTTATGAGTCAGAAGTTTTCATGTAGGTGGTACTTAATATCATAATGTATAATTTGAATTTACAAAAATTAGTAAATCTTCAAATTCTACACTGTATGTCCAGTTTTGTCATAATTTTTTAAAATTGCATATTTCTTCAGTTGAGTTAAAAATATGTGAATATTACGATGTAGGTTTTCATGTAATCTTTCACTGTTTATAAATGTTTTAAAATGTTCATTAGACTATATTTTCAGAGATTTGATTATGATTTTATCAATATGGTCAGTATTACAGGTGATATTAGTAACACAAATCACATAAGATAGTAAAGCCTATAAATATTCAAATGGAAGTTATGAGAAACACATGATGAATTAATTTATGGCATGTAAACCCTGGATGCCTTTGGGAAATCTGGAAGTGATTTTATTTGGGAAAGAAGCTTCTTTGGAGTTTTCCCATCAGTCAGTATGATATTTGGACGTGGAATTTTAAGGAGTCTAATTGGTAGGATTTCCTATGCAAACTATTTTGGGAAATTAGAATAACATTTATAATGGAATATCGGATGTGTTATACAAGCTACAATATTTAGAAATAGATTAAATAGTCCACATGACAAACAGTTGTAAGCAAGGAATAGAAATAATACTTATTATGGTAGATTTAGGATGTTTAAAATGTAGTTTTCTATAAACCGGTTCTAATTAAGAACAGAATACTATGGAGACAGAGAAACCAATTCTAGCAACACAGGTGGCAGTATAGAGAACTAAAGTGAATTGACATTAGGTAAATATAAAGTGAATATAAATATATACTGATATTATTATAACAGAAATAGAGATTAATAGAATGCATAAGAGTAAAGATTTAAGGTACTATATGATGTCACAAACACATTTTATTCTAAGGAAAGGCATACATTTGGATTATCCCTTTTAATTTCTCAAGATCTTTGAAGGATTAAGTGAAATGTAAAAATCTAAGATGAATCATTCTTTTTCCTTTGAATTATAACAGATAAATTAAATAGTGCTAAATGCCTTATGGTTCTTTAGAGAAGTGTATAAACTATCAATGATATTTTTTTCCCTATTAAATACTTTCCATGTGGTGATAATGAATGCTAAGGCTTGTTTACAAAGGCCAGTAGCAAAGATATGGACTAGAGACACAGTACTTGAATTTTCAGTGATTTTCTTTAGTTCTTTAAAGGAATATAGTATCTATGAAATATAGTAGTTTAAAATTTAAAGAACAATATATCTGAAGTAATTCATTTTATAGTTGGTAAAGATTGTTTGATAGAATATTTATTATTTTGAAGTCATTAATTTCAGGTTCTTCATTGTTTGATATGTGTATTGTTAGAATGAAATCTTGCCTTGTTTCTGGCATAGTGTTAATGTACTGTAAGGTACTGTACTTTAAAGTGCATTTCCGAAAACTTAAGTTGCGTAACAGTGGCAATAGTCATCCCAATTTCAGATTATAACCACTGTTCTATTTTTATAGTGGTTATAGTCTTAAATCCAGTACAAATCAACATCTACAGTATGATTAACATGTTTCTGGCAAATTTCATAATCTCTAGAACAATGTGATTACTGAATTTAATACTGAATTCTACTTTCCTAAGGTATGATTTTTACAAAGCACTTAAATGGCTTGCTAGGGACTAATTATTAATACAGTTTCTCTTGGAACTGAATTTCATAATAGGAAGTAAATATTCCTATTTATCAGTAAGATAAAATATAATCCCTTATTATAAATACTGTATTCACTTTATACTCTACTTACTTTCAAAAATTCATGTTAATTCCTTAAGATAGGAATGAAGTGTTCCTTTTTTTTCTTACTTCCATCCTATAATATTCAGTTTGACATTAAATATATTATGGGAAATCCTTAATGCATTAAGCTTTCATGTAGGCGTATTAACTTGATGAAGTTGTGGTATCAATATTATAAGGTCATACTACCTAAGAAATGGAAGAGGGTTTTAGAATCATTCACCCAGAATAAGGGATCTGTCTTAATCATTTCTGTATTCCTAATTTATATGATAGTGTGTGGCATTTTTTTTTCTTACCTGATATATATTTGTGATAGTAATGTATAAGTTACCATTGTAAAATCTGTGTTTCTCAATTTAAAACACAAACTCCTAAGGATTTAATGTTTAGTTTGAAATAACTGGCTAACTGCAAAAGTAGGACTAAGAACTGCAGATTCCTTAAATCTAGTGTTCTTTTCATGATATACTACTATCATGCTAGAGTTTTTTTTTAGTCACATGTATAAAAATAATGACAAAAATAAAATGAACGATGCATAGTGCACACACACATATACAGAAAAACATAGGGTGTTGTGTAGGTTAATACTATAAAATTTTTGAATGCTTTAATTATAAATTTTAAACTGTAGGAATCTATGGTTTTATGTAACAACTATAATCTAAAGGATTTGTAATTAAGTCTTAAATGTTTTGTATATAAATGTAAATGCTAAAAAATATCATATTCACTTCCTTTATTATGAAACATTTAAGGAATAAACTTATTTCTTCACTTTCTACAGTACTTATTCCTTTTTTTTTTTTTTTTTTTTTTTTGAGACGGAGTTTTGCTCTTGTTACCCAGGCTGGAGTGCAATGGCGCGATCTCGGCTCACCGCAACCTCCGCCTCCTGGGTTCAAGCAATTCTCCTGCCTCAGCCTCCTGAGTAGCTGGGATGACAGACATGCGCCACCATGCCCAGCTAATTTTTTGTATTTTTAGTAGAGACGGGGTTTCACCATGTTGACCAGGATGGTCTCAATCTCTTGACCTTGTGATCCGCCGGCCTCGGCCTCCCAAAGTGCTGGGATTACAGGCGTGAGCCACCACGCCCGGCCTAGTACTTATTCCTTTATAGCTCCTGGTTAGAGTTTATCCTGGCTTTCTACTTATGTGAGATTTGAAAGGCGGAGAAGATACAGAAGCCATTCTTGTCAAGCATTAGTTACTGGCTAGCAGATAGGCAGATGTGAAAGTCTTAGTGGCTCCTGGGCAAACTCCTGTTAATTGGCCACCCTGATGCTGTAGGCAGCTGTGATAATTGCTAGCAGATTTCCATATACTCTTGACATTCACAGCAGCTTTCTAATGTCCATTTTAAGAACCCTTGTCTTTGCATCTTCAGGCTAGGGTCATCAGCATTAACATTCCTGGCCTTTATTCCTGTAGTCCATTCAACAGTTGTGTAGCTTCTGGTTCCTATATTAAAACCCTTCCTACCTGGAATGCCTAGAGTAACTTCTATTTTCATTAGGGAACCTAATTTATAGATTGGTAGACTGTATGTCCAAATATGAGGAAAAAAGGGATTCTGTTACCCAGGGGAGATATTAGAGAAGAGTGCTTATTTTGCCAGGTTGGGTCTTTCCACTCTATCCTTGCTCTGCTCTTGCCTTTGGGCAAAGAAAACATTGACTAAGAAATTCACAACTAAACTGTTGACTCTTAGTCATCTTTGACTTCAACTGACTTCACTTTTTCATTATCTTCTGTTCATGTCCTGGCAAAATCCCCATAATAGTTTTCTAAATCTTTTCTGTTATCTTCAGGATTCTAATACTATTGCTTTTTATGACTAATAGTTGATATTACCTAAGTTTATTCCAGAGAAAAGGTTAGTGTGAATATTTTGTTAACAGAGTATTATGTGTGATTGCAGTGTCCCCTAGGTTTACCAGTGTTAGAAGGGTAGGTTGAGAAGGTAATAAGCAGTTTCTTCCTTTGAGACTATAGGTAAATATGAGGAGTCACATGTGAAGACTGTGTAGGTTAATATCACCAAGGTGGCCTTAATCTAAATGAAGATGGAACAAAAATAGCAGTATTTTTCTGATTTCTAGGATTTTTTAAATAAATAAATAATTGTTTATTTAAATTGCTTATCTTAAGGTAGCTCAGTAAAAAAGGGTTGGAGACACGATGATAAAATTAAAATTTAAGTGAACCAATTCTAGGAATGATCTAGACAGATGATGAATGAAAAATGATTTTTAAGAGCCAGCACTTAGTTTTAGTCAGAAAGTTTTTCAACTCTTGAGCCAAATCAGTTTGGCTACATTACATTTTCAGATAACTTTCATATCAACATGTTAGGTCTAGAGAGGATGGAAGGAAATACTTTTCTAAGCTTCTGAATAATAGTTGGCAGATAGTGGAAGTGTAGCAAGCCAAGCAAGGAAATTAGAATAAAGGTTATTTTATAGCAGCAGAATATCATATTATCTAATTTTGGAGCATAAGCATATTCCAGATTTAGTGTTTCAGGTACTTAATAACCACAATAAAGTACTTATTTGAACTGAATAAAATGAATACTACTAAAATCATTGCTATGGTATGCCTTTAAAATGAAATTTTAAAAAGGCAAAAGAACTGCTTAGTTATCCATCAACCTGCCAGCAAATCAATGAAATGTAAAATTGTTAAACTTTTTCTCTTCTCATTGTTCTTTTCCTTTGGTTACTTAGGAAAAGAAGTCCATCTGTGTCCAGAGATCAGAGTAGAAGATACGACCAAAGGGAAGAAAGAGAGGAATATTCACACTATGCTACTTCCGATAGCGCAATGCCTAGATCTCCATCAGATTATGCTGATAGGCGATCTCAACATGAACCTCAGTTTTATGAAGACTCTGATCATTTAAGTTATAGGGACTCCAACAGGAGAAGTCATAGGCATTCCAAAGAATATATTGTAGATGATGAGGATGTGGAAAGCAGAGATGAATATGAAAGACAAAGGAGAGAGGAAGAGTACCAGGCACGCTACCGAAGTGATCCAAATTTGGCCCGTTATCCAGTAAAGCCACAACCCTATGAAGAACAAATGCGGATCCATGCTGAAGTGTCCCGAGCACGGCATGAGAGAAGGCATAGTGATGTTTCTTTGGCAAATGCTGACCTAGATGATTCCAGGATTTCTATGCTAAGGATGGACCGACCATCAAGGCAAAGATCTATATCTGAACGTAGAGCTGCCATGGAAAATCAGCGATCTTATTCAATGGAAAGAACTCGAGAGACTCAGGGATCAAGTTCTTATGCACAAAGGACCACAAACCATAGTCCTCCTACCCCACGGAGGAGTCCGCTACCCATAGATAGACCAGACTTGAGGCGTACTGACTCACTAAGGAAACAGCACCACTTAGAGCCTAGCTCTGCTGTAAGAAAAACAAAACGGGAAAAAATGGAAACAATGTTAAGGAATGATTCTCTCAGTTCAGACCAGTCAGAGTCAGTGAGACCTCCACCGCCAAAGCCTCATAAATCAAAGAAAGGAGGTAAAATGCGCCAGGTTTCGTTGAGCAGTTCAGAGGAGGAATTAGCTTCCACACCCGAATATACAAGTTGTGATGATGTTGAGATTGAAAGTGAGAGTGTAAGTGAAAAAGGTAAGCTTTCTAATCATACAATTTGCTGTAATTGATTAGATAAATATTTTTTAATAGGCTGTATTTCTGAATGAAAATTTAATAGGCATTACTAGCTTTATTTTAAAAGTCTTTTAATGGTATTGAATGTGTAAAGAAAATTTCAAGTTATGAAAAGTATTTTCTGTTGTTCATGTATAAGAACAACAGAATGATGTTCTATTGATTTTTAAAACTTGCTTTCTTGCTGTTTCTGAAAGTTTTCTTGTATCTCTTGACAGCACATTTCAAAAATATTCATTAACTAGTTTTTTAAATAAGATGTATATTTTGTGTCTCCTTATGAAAGTAACAGTATGTTCACTGTAAAACATCTGAAAAAGTTTTCAAAGCATGTAAATGAAATGCAAGTTATCCCTATTTCTTTCCCCCATATAACCATTGTTAACCTTTTATTGTATTTTCCTTATTTTTTTTTCCTATACATGTATGGTTTATAGATTTATAAAGTTAGTATCATACTATGTATAATTTTATATACTGTTTTCAATTGATATCACATTATAAGTATTTTTCTCAAGCCATTAGGTGCTTTTTAGAAATACATTTTAAATAGCTACACTAATATTCATTTGTAAGATTATACCACAAACTATTTCTTTATTTGGGGCATTGCCAAATAAAGAAATATTCAATTTACCAATATAAGTAATATTATTATGGTTATTTTTATACAGTTTTTTGGCTTACATCTCGAGTATTTCAAAAATATATATTTGTACTTGAGATCATTTTAAATTTTAATTCAGGTGACCAAATTGCTTTCCAAAAAGGTTGTAACATGCTTTACTCTTGTCAGATGTACTTGAGCTTTCAGTCTCAATGCACCAAATATTTGCCCATTGAATAACCACAAAAATGCCATCTCTTTCTCATTTTAATTTTAATTTGATTGTAAAGTTGAATGTTTTATATGTTTATTTCCATTTGGTATCTTCTGTGAATTATCTGTTTCTTCCTTTAATTCCTTCTATCTTTCTCTGTATATTAGGTTTTCTCTTATTGATTTATAAGAGCTTTTTGTATATTAGGATTTTTCCCCATTTAACTGTAATTTGCCAAATACATTTCTCATTTTGATGTTTAGTGTTTTTTCCTTTGGTTATTTGAAACCGTATCTTGTATCTTTGGTAATTTTTTCCCCATTATTTCTGTAAAGAGCAACTATAGATCTTAATTCATTTTATTATGGAGTATATAGAAATATTATTTTCCCTAAGCTATAATACTTCCTTAAGTATATTTAATAATCTTTAGTTTGGTCATTTTTCACATTTGCCAGAGTATATGATGATACTAAAAAATAAGAAAAGGATAGTTTGTTATCTTTGGTGGTTTGGTTTAGATTGATTTTATCTAGTAGGTATTTCTCTTACACTTTGCTAAAGTAATGCCTTCACTTGTACCATATAAAAATGTAAAAATCCCAGAAATGTATCAAATCAGTGCTCTAAAGCTTTTTTTATACGTGATAGACATCCTTATCAGAACTTATGCCTTGTTTTAGTATTCTAAAATACCACTTATAAAAATCTCATACAAATAAAAAGCTATGTATGAGTTAAATTAAAAACCTATTTGAAACAAATTAGCAAAAGTAAAACATTTATCAAATACAGAAAAAAAAATACCTCTCTCATCTTTATTCTTCCTGAACTTGAACTTCTAGTAAAAACTCTTAAAGATAGTCCTCTTTCTCATTTATTTAATTATTTGTTTCACAGAGGACACTTTCTGTCAACAGGTATTTGGCAGAAAACCACACTTTAATTTGAATTTGTAGGAATAAATTTGAGTGAAGTCATCTCTTTCTGTTTGGCATTTCCCCAATAACTGAATTTAGCGAGGAGAAATTGTAGCTGTTGAGACATTGGGATATTGTGGGAAAGAGATTGATTTATATGATGTCTTGACTTTTCATCATTAAAGTAGCATTTTTTATTATTTATAGAAAATTGGCAAATTGATTGGGAATAAATTACCTTTAGAAGTATCTAACATTGTGATTCACCTTTGATAGTTAACTAAAGTTTGAAAATTTTTCCTAATAGTTAAAGGAAGTTTGTTAATGGATTTTAAAAATGTTTTTCTGTATTTTTATATGTAGTGACATCATTATGATGAGAACCAACTGGAGGGATAGCCTTAAGAGAAATACCTAATGTAGGTGAAGGGGGGATGGAGGCAGCAAATAACCATGGCATGTGTATACCTATGTAACAATCCTACAAGATCTGCACATGTACCCCAGAACTTAAAGTATAATTTTAAAAAATCAAATTAAAAAAGTAATTACCACTTTGCTTTGTTATCCCTACGCTAAACCACTCCAAAGAAGGTTTTTTACAATTCAGGTATTTTTCTTGTTGTCTTTACTTTTCTGTTTCTTTTCAGTTTTGTGCATAATCTTTCAAAAATGTGCAAGGCAAATTTGCATCAAGTTATCTAATTTTAAAATGTTAACCAGTACTGTATAGATAGCACCAGGCAACATTATCATTGCAGAATAATTTTTTTCAAGGTCCTAGTATATTATATCTTCTACTACTTAGCACAATCTTTTCTGGTCTATAAATAATAAAATTCCTTGGCAATCAGCAGCAAGTTTATAATTTACTTTACCTACATTTTTTTTTTCTCTGCTGTCTTTTTGGATCATCTGGTTTTTTTTCTTCTTCTATCTAGCTTTATTGGTGTGTTAGTGGCTTTGGCTCGTGTCTTACTTGTCATTTCAGATGGATTTAATTATTGTAAATATACAGAATTGCACACAAATTTATCATAGATGTCATTTCATCCAGTTTGTTCTGTTAAATGATGCTGTTAATTATAATTCATGAGTGACTGAGCCATTATTTGTGTAACAAAACCAGAGAGGCTTAATGGGAAGAGTATCGATTTTGAGGTAAAAGAGGATGATCAAACCCTGGTTGTGTTCTTCACTAACTATGTGATTTTGTTCTATCTTTTTAACCACCTAGGTCAGTTTCTTTACCTATAAATTTGTAAATCAGGATAATGGTGTCTTTATTGTTCAGTCATTGTAAGGATTAAATGAGACTATTTATATACAATACTCATCATACGGTATTCAAATCACTTTTGGATTACTTAATGTTCTGTGATAGTTAAGACTTCTATAGGACAACTCTCAAGAGTTTTGAATGAAAGTATAATTGTGTTCATGTAGATGTGGTTGTGTTGGTTTCACCTCTTCCAAGATCTCTCCTACGTTGAACGAGGCTTGTTTTCAGACTAAGAAGAATATGCTTAACTTGTTGAGATGTAAGTCAGTGTCTCACTAAATACTGAACACCTATTTACTTATTTTTCTGCCAAGAACTCTTTCAATGCCTAGAATTTGCAAGGTGTTGGATTGGATCTAATGGAAAATGTAGAAATAATTAACACATTTTTTCTATCCTAGAAATTGAGAATCTAAAATAACTAGCAATATAAGGTAATTGTACTAAACAGGTACTGTAGGACTTCAGAGAAATGAAGCATTAGTCATATTTACTGATTTTGCATGCTCTGTATTCTTATAACACTCATCATCTTTTAACTCAATGCAATATAGTTTGCTTTTTATAATACTAAATTAATCACTTTCCCATACTTTGCGTTGGGTTAGGAAATTGCAAATTGATATTTTTTCTTTTTTGCCTTTGGGTTATAGAAGGAGGTAAGTCTTAGATTACAAATACCATAATATTTCTGAATTTAAATATTTTAAACCTTCTTCCCAAAGTTCAAAATACATTTTTTCATAACCTTAAAAAGTAACATTGGATTTGTAATTTTACCTATTATTTTCTTACTGAGTAGACTGTAGCAGGTTTCTCAATCTCAGCACTATTAACATTTGAGCCTGGTTAATTGTTTTGTTGTCCTATCTCATGCATTGTAGGGTTTTTAACAGCATCTCTGACCTCTACCCAACTAGATGCCAGTAGCACCCATAATCACATTTGTGAAAGCCAAAAATATCCATATCCCCAGACATTGCCAGATATCTCTTGTGAGGCAAAGTTCACCATCTCCAACCCTTGCCGTCATCCTTATCCCCTTCAGTGTGTCTCCTCCCCACTTCACTTTTAGAGCCAATTGAGAGGTTGATAACCATTTATTTATTTATTTATTTATTTAAAGAGACTAGACTAGAGTAAAAATATCAAAGTCAAGTGCACAGAGTAAGGGTAATTGTGTCTTATAAACTTTTGTTTTGTTACAATGTAGATGATGGCCAAAAATGTTTTAAAGGTACTCATTTAACATTAGAATGTTGTGACTCACTTGATGCTGGTGTTTCAGGTTTAGATCCAGAGAAAGGTCTAGAAATTAGTTTCAGTGGTGAATTAATATCTTGTATAATAGATTCTGAACTTTTCATTAGCTATATCTTAATTTTAATATTATAATCCTGTGTAATTTTTCACTTTAAATAGCCATGTTGTCAACTATTTGCCCAACTGCACAAAAGATACCCCATTTGATCTTCTTTAACTTAATGTCTGTTGTGGAGATATTTAGTTTCTTCTGTGTTCCATGGACTAATCTGACTAATTTTACCTGGTAGTTGCAGGCCTTTTTGTTTCCGTATAAAATTTTGTGTAAAAAGTGTCCTACAAAATGCAAGAATACATGTGTATGATAGTTTTCTAGCTATAAATTATGAAATGTTTGATTTCAATTCTTACAGTCTTGAAAGTAGCACAACACACTTTTACTTATATTGCAGAAGGAGAGGGTGAATGGAGATGGGGCTGGAGTAATTTGGAAAAAAGACGTAGCATAGGAGGAAGGAAAAATAGAATACACCTTTTAGATAGAAGCATGATCTTTTAAACTTTAAAAACAAACCCTAAAGATGTCAGCTTTGTATTTGTCTGAGTTTAGGTGTTGTCAGTATCATTAGTGAAATTTACTGCTTTACATAATCTCATAAATGAATTTACTCT